AATTGTATGTACTATAGTAACAAAACATATGATATATAACTTGATTTTAATAAATAAATATATATTATATATAATATTTTAAATTCTTACAACCCAAATTAATAATAGTCACATGTTTAAACTAAAAATAAAAAAAATATAATATTATGAGGTACTTAGTTCGTCCACATAATAATTAAAATGATCAAATATATATGATTATGCACATACTATTTCTATATTTTTGGCTAAATACTTTAGGCATAAATCAAATTAATTACACTATAGTATGTATCATCAGTATAGTCATGCATATGTAAAAATAGACTTGCATAACTTTATATTAAACATTAATATATTACATTTCCATATTTAAAAATATTATATATATAATTTCATATATAATAAAATGTCATTAAAACTTCTCTAACATCTATATCAACAAAAAAAAATTCTTTACAAACTCAACATGTAAGGAAAACTAATATATTTTTTTGGTTAATAAAAACTTTTAAATATTAATTTAACTTTAAAATTTCACCAAAATATATATATATATATATATGCAGTGTAATAAAAATATCTAAGTGAAATTACAAGCAAATGCAAATGAACCTTTTACACATTTTGAGTTTTGAGAAACTCGGCATACTTTGTTTAATAGCATAAATTAGTATGAAGCTGTATTTGTATATGTATTACTTGCTTTATTCATCTACTCTTCTATAGTTTACCGATGCTTCAGAGACCAAATAAAAAATGTAGTTTATCAATATGATTATGATTTTGTATAATATGTAAATGTTATTTTTATTTATATGATTTATTTACATGAAAATAGTTCTTATACGGATTTGTAAAAGTTTTGAATATTGATTGCTATTTTGTATTTAAGACTACTCATAAAAAAAATTCATAACACGAACACAATTGAAATGAAAAGAAACCTAAATTAATTAGAACAAAATATATGTGTTTCACTTGTAGTCATATGTTTGATAAGTAATTTTTTTTAATGAATTTGTTTTTTTAAATAAAATAAACAGAAAACTTATAATTGTTAAGTTCAATTATATATCAAATTTAGTTAAAACAAAAATAATTTTAATAGTAGTTTGAAAGTTGGTGAACAGTAATGAGTTTATATATATAGATTAACAAATAATTTTTACATATATCAAAGTTAGTAAATTCTTAAATTAAATCATAAATTATTTTCCAAATACATTAAAATTTTTTAGATGTATGACCACCTCAAAATGATTTTAAAAATAAATATTAAATATAAAATATTAATTTACTGTTAAAATAATTTCATTAAAATAAAAATTAATAATCAAATATTTTTGAAAATAATCTGCGCGTAGCACATCAACTTCCCTAGTTATACTTATTAACCTTATTGGTAGTATTTAGATGAGTATTTCACCTTTAAAATAATAAAATAATTTAAAAAATTAAAAAAAGGAGAAAAAGTATTTAAAAAGTTTTCGTTTGAGATACCTAACAAAAAAATATGAGATATTCTTATATTGTTTGACACCTTCTTATTAGTTGAATTTTTTTGTTTAAGTTCAAATTTAAAATTTTAATTAAATCATTTTAAAACAACTAATATTATAAGGTTTGAAATACTCTTTACAGTATCTAACCAATATTGGACATGCTCATAAAGATTTGGATCAGACAACCTTAACTCGGGTGTTGCAATAAGTGGATTCTTTAACTTCAACACAATCCCAAACTTCTCCTCGACCTCCACTTTCTCTCCTTCCCTAATTTTCCAATCAAAAGAATGCAAAAACGTTGCAAGATTGTAAAGAACAACTCTCTCTCCCATGGCAATTCCCGCACAAATTCTCCAGCCGGATCCAAACTGGAAATAACTATTGTTAGTAGTGGTATCCGCACTAAGTAAGAATATTTAAGTAGGGAGTCGGATTCGGAGATTTTCTTTTTAGATATTCAATCGGAACAACAAGTACAAAGAAGGAAAAGCAAAGACGAAGTCGTCGAAAACCTAAGTAAAAAGAAGACGGCATGCTTTCCGAGTTTTAGGGGTCGTCAAGCAGGGAATCATCAAAAAGGAGAAAAGGACGTCTGCTCTCTCGGGGAGAAGCCGACTTCAGGAGTGGAGACTTGCCGAGCGTGCGAATCGAGAAAAACGTCCTTTCAGTCCAAAAAAAGATATCTTGTCATATCAAGATACTGTGCTATTTATAGAATTGCATCTCTGGAAGACGTTTTTTTTTAGAATTGATCACCTGGCCAGGGTGTCAATGTGTTTGGGCAGTCAAGCTGCGTTGAGAGTGGAGGACGGATTGACGTCTTAATAAAATTTTCATTAAGTAATAGCTGGACCTTTGAAAAGGCTGCCTACGTACCCCTATATGGGGATCAAGCCGATCATAGTTCGCATTACATAAGTAGCTTCGGAGAGCGTATATACATGTTTTATATATAGGTTGCTGAGATAGAAGGGTGGCGTGCTTGATGCTCGAAGCTTGAGTCACCGAGCTGTGGAGGCGGCACACTTGGGTAGTCGAGCTGTAGAGGTGGCGTACTTGGGTTGTCGGGCTCTGGAGGTGGCGCGATTCGTCATTCTTCCTCCCTTTTTCTATATTATTTTTTCTTCATATAGCTGGACCCTTCAAAGAAGGCTGCCTACGTACCCTTGTTGGGATCAAGTTGATCATTGTTCACATTACATAGTGACTTATTTCTTGATGATGAGGTCTGTCGTCCGTTTTGTTCTTCGAGCGACTTCTTCCTTAGTAGTAGAAATGCTTGAGGTTCCCTATGTTCCAGGAATGCGGTATCGCCTCTCCTGCCATCGTCGTTAACTCAAATACACCCAAATTGACGACCTTGGATACGAGGTACAGACCTTTCCAGCCGGTGCCGAGCTTGCCTGTGTTTGGTTCGCACGTGTTCTCGAAGACTTTCCGTAGCACGAGGTCTCCTTCCTCGAAACGCCTTCCTCGAACCTTTTTGTTGTAGTAGCGAGCCGCGAGCTGTTGGTAATTTTTAATTTCTCAGCAGTGCTTGGTCGCGTTCGCCTTCTAGGAGGTCGAGTTCGTCCTTCATCATCTGATCGTTCAGCTTGGCGTCTCGTGCAATCATAGTGTGTCGGATCCCGGAAATGCCAACCTCTGCAGGAGACATGGCCTCCATACCGTGCGACAGGGAAAAAGGTGTCCTATTTGTTGAACGGTGTGGCGAAGTTCGATGTGACCATAAGACACCGTCGAGTTCATCTGTCCAAGCTCCCCTTTTGTCGTCGAGACGTTTTCTTAGTCCAGCGAGGATGGTTGTGTTTGTTGCCTCAGCCTGGTCATTGCCTTGCAGGTATCGGGGAGTTGATTTATTTAGCTTGATTTTCCGACAGGCGCAGAAGTTCTCAAATATTCCTGACGTGAACTGAGAGCCGTTGTCGGTGACGATTTTGTATGTGAGTCCATGTCTGCAGATGATGAACCTCCAGACAAACTTCTGAACGTCAACGGCGTGTATCTTGGCATAAGACTCGGCTTCAACCCACTTGGTAAAGTAGTCGGTCATGACCAGGACGAATCGCTTTTGTCGAGATGCCGGAAGAGGTCTGATAATGTCCATACCCCACCTCATAAAAGGATAGGCCATGGTTGAGGCCGTCAGGAGTTCGGAAGGGACCCTTATCGTTGGAGAGTGTCTTTGGCATTTTTCGCAATGGGCGACATACTTCTCGCAATCGGTTATCATAGACGGTCAGAATATGCCGTGCTTCTTTATCTTTAGTGCAAGGGCTCGTGCCACATAATGGTTTCCTCCTGCTCCCTCGTGAGTTTCCTACATAACTGCTTACACCTCGTCTCTGTCAATACAGTTCAGTAGGACCTCCGAGGCGCTCCAACGGAAGAGGTGTTCGTCGAGAATTGTGTAGTGGGCCCTCCATGCCTTAAGACTCCGGGTGGCCCATTTGTCAGGTGGTACTTCTCCATCCAAGATGTACAGCTTGATCTCGTCTCTTCAATCGAGTTGTACAGGTTCGCCGGCTCTATCCATCGGCTCGCAATCGGTCTCGTTGGTGTCGTCGAGGCCGGTGTCATCGGCGTCGTCGAGGCCATCTCCGATTTTGGTGATTGCGGACACGCCTCTGGACGGTTTGATTTCGTCCCTCCATTCTATATGTATGAACTTGCCTGCTTTGTCCATTAACTTATAATCAGCATTGTCGGAATCGTCGATGCCGCCTCTAGAATCGACCATTGCATATATATCCTTAGTCAATTTAATGCTTGGATTTTTGATACTCTCCACAAGTATCATGCAGTGAAGATCTGGATCAGAGGTTGATGCGAGGGCGGCTAACGCATCTTCTGTAGGATTAACACTGCATGGGATTTTGGTGAGGACGAAGTCGTCGAAGTCTTTCGAAAAGTTTTGGACAACTTTTAGGTAGGCATCCATAATTTCGTTTTTTGCTTTGTAGTCACTGATTACCGACAAGCTGGGAGTCACAGAACGCTTGGATTTTGCTTGCCCCCGTTGCTTTTGCCAGGCGTAGGCCGGCGATTAGAGCTTTGTACTCTGCTTTATTGTTGGATGCTGCAAATTCAAGATAGAATGACTGTTCGAGAATTTCTCCAGTCGGCGATATTAATCTAACTCCGATACCCGATCCGTTTTGAGATGACGAGCCATCGACATATAGCTACCATTTCATGATGGATGGAGGTCGGCGGGAGTAGAGTCAAGTGGTAGCTCTATGAGGAAATAGGCAAGGACCTGAAACTTAGACGCACCTCTTTTAGGCGATTAGGGTTTTCGTTCCTATCGATGCCGGCGGAGACGCCTTACGCTCTCCGTTGAGAACTCTCTCTCCATGGATTCTCTCTCTGCTCCTCCATCTATCCCTCCTGGTCTCCTATTTCTCCATCATTTCCCTGAGTGTTTGCCTTCTTTCTCTTCTGGATTCTCGCACATCCATGAATCTTCAGTTGCTTTGAATCTCTCAAAGGGTCCTTTGAGTTCTCCTGAAGCGGAGTCTCCTGCTGCTGGGTCTTCTCCGCCGTTAGCTCCGCCGGATCTGGTATGGGAGAGTTTCAAGAGTGCCTCGATACTAGTAGCTTTTTTTATCTTACTTTCAGGGGATGCCGTTACAGATGGACAAACAGTAACCCGATTAATGCCAAAGCTAGGAAGTTGGATAGAACGCTCATAAATAAATCTTGGGAGGAAAAATATCCAGATTCTTATGCTTACTTTGGTCCTCCTGGATCCGCTGATCATTCTCCATGCTTAATCTCTTTGAATAATGAAGTTAGAATGAGGAAAACAAGGTTCATCTATTTCAGTTTTTTCTCTTCTCATCCAGATTATGAGGTTCTAATACGCTCAACGTGGTAGTGCTTTGTCATCCAATCAAATCCGATGTTCTCGTTGTATCAAAGATTGAGGTCAGCTAAACTTTGTTGCAAGACACTAAATCGCAGCAGCTTTATTAATATTTAACTTCGTTCTAAAGAAGCTTTTGAAAGATTAGAGGATGTCCAGAGAAGAGTCCTAAGTAATCCATCTCAAGAGATTTTTCAAGAAGAGAATTCGGCGAGAGCTTCTTGGCTGTTTCTAGCAGCAGCTGAACAATCTTTTTTTTATGCAGAAATCCCGTGTTAGGTGGTTGACTAACGGTGACGCAAACACAGGGTTTTATCATTAATCGATCTTGGCAAACTTATCGAGGAATGTGATTCACTTCTTGCGAGACAAAGATGATCGTAAAATCTCCGATCTAGTTTTAATAAAGGCTATGGCAGTAAGCTACTATGAGGATCTTCTTGCTGCTATTAATTCCAATGTAGTCGCTCTTACTTGTAATCAAATTCAGAGTATTCATCCTTTCAGTTGCGGGATTTTATTAGCAGCTCAGTTAGATCTCATTCCGTCTGATGAGGAGATTCATGCTACAGTTTTTGCTCTCCCTAAAAACAAGGCGCCAGTGCCGGATGGGTTCTCCGTTGAGTTTTTCACATCTTCTTGGGATTTGGTTGGTGGGGACCTAATCTGTGCAGTCAAGGATTTCTTTGTTAATCCCTCAATGTCCCGACAGCTAATCTCAACAGTTATTGCCTTGATTCCGAAAGTAACCGGTGCTGCAAAGCTTACAGAGTTCCGACCCATATATCTTTGCAATACGGTCTTATTTCCAAGATAATTGGCTCTCGTTTATAGTATTTTTCTCATCTAGCTGTGCAAAGGAACCAAGAGGAGTTTGTGAAAGGGAGGCCATTATGCGAAAATGTCTTGTTAGCTTCTGAGCTTGTAGCAGATTTACATAAACCAGGACCTATTACAAGAGGGTGCTTATAAATCGACATTACAAAAGCTTTATGATAATGTCGATTGGAGCTTCATTTTAAATATATTGCAAGCCTTTGAACTTCCTGAGGTTTTTATCTCTTGGATACGACTTTGTATTACTATACCTTATTACTCGGTGTCTTTCAACGATGAATTGGTGGGTTTCTTTCCAGGGAAAAAAGGTCTGAGGCAAGGAGATCCGATTTCTTGAACTTTATTTGTGTTCACAATGGATATTCTCTCAAAATTGCTTGACAAAGCGGCAAGGGATAACCGTTTCAACCTTCATCGGGCTTGCTCTTATCCGCTCATTACCCATTTGAGTTTTGTTGATGATATTCTGGTTTTATTTGATGGCTCAAGACCTTCGCTGGCTGCAATTCTAGATATTTTATCTTCATTTCAATCAATGTCGGGTTTGGCTCTGAGTTTGAGGAAATCGTGCATTTTCCTTGATGGGGATCAGATAACCTTATCTCAGGATTTGGGCTCAGAGTTTGGTTTGACTCATGGATCTTTGCCTGTGCACTATCTCGGTCTTCCTCTTCTACCTCACAAGCTTCAGCCGCAAGATTACCAACCACTAATTGACAAGGTTTTAGCTCGCATCTACTCTTGGACTGTCCGTCATTTGTCTTTCTCATGAAGGCTTCAACTCATTCAATCAGTTCTTTATAGTATGTTTAACTTTTGGGCTTCAAACCTTTACCAAAATCTTGCATCGAGGCTATAGAGAAGATTTGCAATGCTTTTCTTTGGAGTGGAGCTCCTAATTCAGCAAGGAAAGCAAAGGTTGCTTGGGATTCAGTGTGTACTTTGAAGGAAGCAGAAGGTTTGGGGCTATGTAGGCTTCAATATTCGAACCAAGTCTATGGTTTGAAATTGATTTGGCTGTTGTTTGCCTCAAATGGGTTGCTGTGGGTAACTTGGGTTCAAAAGAGGATCATCAAAGGCAAAATATTTTAATTAACTGATTTCCAGCATTCCGGTAGCTGGATTTGGCGAAGACTGATGAAACTTTGAAATTTAGCTCGTCCTTTTCTCGCTTGTCAAGTTCGTTTGGGGAACTTAGCGCTGTTTTGGCATGATGACTAAACCACCCTTGGTCCGCTAATTGATATCACTGGTTCGAATGGCCCTCGCGTCTGTGGGATTCCTTCTTTGGCTACAGTGTCTCAAGCAGTGTCGGATGGGAAATGAATGTCACCAAGAGGGAGGCATCCAATCATTGTCCTTTTCCGAGCTTGTTTACCTACAATTGCATCGACAATCTCGTCTTTCATCTCAGACTTCTTTTTGTGGAGGAATCCGTAGGAAATCCTCCTGAAATTTTCTCCTCTTCAAAAACATGGGTTTCACTGCACCCCTCACCTCCTACTGTGAGCTGGTTTAAATCAGTTTGGTTTAAATACAGAATTCCGAAACATGCTTTCTTTGCTTGGGTGACTATACAAGATAGACTACCAACGAGAGATAGATTACGTTCATGGGGTCTAAATGTACCGCCTGGCTGTTTGCTTTGCAGTACTGGTACAGAGAATCGATCTCATTTGTTTTTTGGTTGCAGCTTTTCTTCAGTGGTCTTGGCTTCTTTCTTTACTCACAGGGACCTCTCCCCACCGAGTTTGTTAGAAGACATTGTTCAGTGGACTCAATCTTCTTCTAGGAATTCAAAGCTCAAAATGATTAGCAAACTACTGTTTCAAGCGGTGATTTATGCTTTGTGGAAAGAGCGAAATGCTAGGTTGCACACTTCAATTAGTAGACCTCCTCTCGTTGTGGTTAAAGATATCCTGATTACGCTTCGGGTAAAGTTATTAGGTTTAGATCGTAAAGAATCCCCATTTGCGTCTGCTGCTCCTCTACCATCGTCATCCTTAGTTATGGAAACTTTTCTCCATACCTGGTGCAGATATATCCAGCTATAAGCTTCTCATTCTATCCAGTTTGTTGGACGTCACGATTGCTTCACATATGTTTCTACAAGTTTTATTTGTAAAATTCGTTTTTCTTTTACTTCTTTTTGTTGTGATGTATTCGAAACAATGCCCCTTCTTGGGAAAGAAAGGAAAGGGAAAGAAAAAAAGAAAAAAGTTAAAAAAAAAAAAACATTGTAAGAATCCAAAAGGTCTTAAAGATAAGTCAAAACAGTAACTCATGAGCAGAGTTTTGAAACTTTGATCTGGTGAACATAATCACAGATTCTGCTTATTTGTTCTTTCTCATTTTTTCGCTTCAACTAATAAAAAGGAAACAAGTTCATTCTTCTAATCATCCATAAGATCTCAAAGCAAACAACAAACAAGAATCAACTATAAATGATTTCAAACGTCTCAACTCAGCATAATATGTTCTTTCAAGAAGCACTCAAAACAAATGGGACTTTGCAAGAGAATCAAACTTTCAAATGATCTTTCAGATGGTTGTTTACGGATAATTTTGTACATATTAAGAAATAAATTACGAGAAATAAATTTTTAATGTTTAATTTAAATTTTCAATAAAATATTAAATTAAAACATTACAATAATTTTATGTGTATAAATTTAAATATATCTATTCTAATAACATAACATTATTTTTTAGAAACAGTTCTGATATACTGACTCGTGGCATATAAGAAGTTAATATATGTTATTTTTTTTTTTTAATTATTTCTATTTAGTTATATTTTATTAAACAAATGCAAAAAAGGTTAAGCTTTTTTTCCCTTTTCTCTAAATTATTGTCTTTTATCCAACAGATAGAAACAATAATCAAATCACTGAAACAAATCATATATAATATAGTGAGAAAGGTCATGTGTTACTTTTTTTTTTCTATCTTTACTATATTCTCTTTTATCAAACAAACACAAAAACAACGTTTAAGTTTTTTTTTATTCTCAGAATAAAGTAAGTTTTTTTTTTCTATTTAGTTATATTTTATCAAAGAAACACACAAAAAGGCTTAATTTTTTATTTGTCCAAATTATTCTCTTTTATTCAACAAACAGAAACAAAAATCAAAATCACTCAAACAAATCTTATATAATATAGTAAGGTCATGTGTTACTTTTTCTCTTTCTTTTTTCTATCTTTACTATATTCTCTTTTATCAAACAGACATAAAACATTGCTTAAGTTTTTTTTCCCTTTTCTCCAAATTATTCTTATTTAGCCAACAAACAGAAACGAAAATAAAATCGCTCAAACAAATCTTATATAATATAGTAAGGCCAAATGTTACTTTTCTCTTTTTTTTTTATCTTTACTATATACTCTTTCATTGAACAACACAAAAACAATGCTTAAACTTTTTTTCTTCTCAGAATAAAGCAAGTTTTTTTTTGTTTCTAGAAGCAGCTTTGATATGCTGTTATGTGGCATTTAAGAAAATGACAAGGTTTCGCTTTTATCGAGCAGATACAAAAACAAGATTTCGGTTTTATTTTTTTCTTCTCCACTAGATTCTATTTCATCATGTCTCCTATATCAAATTATTTTAGTATTTTTAATAAAAAAATTTAAGAGATGACTGTGTTATCCTTTCTATCTGAAATAGACTAATTTCTTCATGTTTTTTTTGCGGTCAATCTAACAAAAAATCATGCACTATTTGCTTTCATAAATCTTTTTACATTAATATATCACTACTTCCTTCTCTACTGCATTAAATCTCAAACCGCCACCATTATCACAATATGGATTCTACTCTCGAGAACCTTCTTTTCAGTCATTCTTGATGGCAGCTTCACTTCCCTAACATGGTCAAACCTCACATTATTATTTTATCAACCATTTAATACAAAATTTAAATGGTATTTATAACTTATAAACTAATATTTACCAACAAACGTTTACTAACAAATATGATAAATAGATTGTAAAATTAAAATAGTCAATTTATCACAAATCAGCACAAGGCGCAGACCTTCTCCTAGTATATATACACTATTATTTGCGAAGTAGAAATCCTACATGTCTTCCCATGTCTATTCTCAGTGATTTTTTTTTATCTTTCTATCTTTAATGATTAGTATTAGTTAAAAAATTAAAGATAATTTTTGAAAAGACACACTTAGCAATTTTATTACGAAACATGACTCTTCATAAAATGACCTATAAGAAGGGTCCATTAATGTGTTTTTAATATATCGTTAGTCTGTCAGTAATTTATATTTAATCTGCTATTAGTCTGTCAATAGTCTATATTTAATTGTAAGGCCAACCAGTCTGTCAGTAGTGTGCATTCAATATGTCATTAGTCTGCCATTAAGCTACAAATAAGTTTAGTTAGAAGGGTAGCGCTGGTATTTAACCATAGAGTAGAGATCATTTTCATAATTTTCCTTTAATGCAGTATCGTTTCACATCAGTTTCTCATTCTTGATTATTTTAGAGCATTTTTGGAAAAATAATTTAATATATCGTAAGGTATTTATTAATACTGCCAATTGTCGGAGATTTATCTAAATCGAATATTTGGTGAAAACCCCTAGATCGTTTGGAGTTATACCTGTCTTTCGGTTAGCTCAATCTTCATTCAAAACCTTATTTTTCGTATTTGCATTTTCTAGCTATATATAGTTGACGCCTATAGTTTTGTCATTTTTATGTGGTAATACTATTTTTATGTGGTAATACTTTTTGTGGATCTTTCTTTCTAAGTTCTCGGCTTTTCTTTGTTTGGTTTGTGATATTGTTTAAAATGAAACTAAGTTATCTTTTCTATTTTCGTGATTTGAATGGATAAAGATTTACAAACTAAACAGTAAATTTTAATTTAGAATTTTAATTGAAAGCTTGGGAGTTTTTTTTTGTTTGGGATTTGGCTTTGGTTTCTCTAGCTTTGGGTTCAGCTTCGATGATGGCATCGTCTGGGTTTCTTTCTTTTCTCTGGCATATTTTCGTTTAAGAAGTTGGTTTCAGGGCAGTTTTTCCTAGCCGAACAGTTTAAAGTCCTTTATTCGCCTTTGCAAATATATTCTTCTACTGGTGGTGTATAGTGGCAGCTTTACTTCGTTGGTTTCTGGAGTGGTATTGGGTTGGGTGTCATTTTGTAGAAGATTCGGTGTTGATTGGTTTTTACTCTTAGATGGCTGGTGGTCCTCTTCTTCGCTGCACTATATTGTCCATGTCCTTTGATTTGGTTTTAATCTTAACAATGTGCCAAGGGGGCAGTGGTTTGTGTGTGTTCAGTTCTTCATCAAAGGAAGAAGCTTCCCTCATTTATGTCTCTCTTGCTTGGAGTCTTATTGCTGAGACCGAGCAAGGTATCCAGCTGTTCTGCTTTTGTTGATCATTTGCTCTGATCCTTTCAGATTTGGTTTGGGTGTTTGCGGGCTTACTTGTTTTGTTGTGTAATTTAGTCTTTGTTAGTAAGTTTTCCTTGTTTGGGCTTAGTTTCTCTCTTGTGGGCTTATGTTTCTGATGTTGTTTCTGTTGACAACGGGCTTATGTATTTCATCTTGGTTTATGTAACAAACAATTTTTCTTACCAAAAAAACATTAAACATAACAAAACTCGGAAAACATAAACACATTTAAGTTATCAACATAACTTTCCCACAAACGAAATAGAAAAACATGACAACACTGAAAAGTATTTATTTTGAGATAAAAGCAAAGAGGTAGAAAATCAAATTAAAATTAAAAAGTTATTGTTGTTTGGTGTTGTTGTCAATGTTGAGCCACCTTTAGAGAATTTGTTCTTTGGTCTCATTATCTTGACTTTCTTTTTTGGAGCGTATGAATATTTTCTTCACAATATTGCAAAACTCACTACATACAAAACAAAACATTCTCATTAAATTCTTTCTAAACTCTAGGAGAGAGAAAAATAAATGGAATAAAAACTTACATCCATGGATCGTCTCCAACAAGCATGATATCTCCTTCATCATCTACAAAAACTATTTCCCATTGATTGCGTGTACGCAGCTCGGCTTTGAGATCAAAAAGTTTTTCTAGTTCATTGATTAATTGGGTATATCCATCAAGAACAGTTAAATCCACAGCTCTTCCTATAGCTACACCTTGCATTCGAACCTGTTCAATAACAATATTAAGAATATATGGGCTAATCAAAATCATCTTACTCTATTTTGAAGTTTTATACAAGTTTCTAATAAAAGACGTATCGAATATATTATAATACAAATTAAAAATGCTTGTATATATATAAAAAAAATCATTTTTTCTGTGTATTTAATTTTCTAATCATACCCAGATTCTCTAATACTTTAGTTGTACAATATAAAAACTTTTGAAACTAAGTAATATGTAAAGAATGAGAAATTGATGGTTTTTTCAATACCTTGATACGACTTCTACTAGAATTGATTTGCTTGCTTTGGATATCTTTTGATAATGCTGGACTTTGGATTTGTTCAATCTTTTCTTCATCGGAGATTCTGGAAATTTTAACTTTTTGATATAAGTCAATTTGTTCGATGAGATCTTTTGTTTCCGGTGGAGTCATCTGATCAACTCCAAGCAATTTGTAACCACTTGATGTATCAGTGGTTATCTTTTCAATCACAGACATAACCATTTGGTCATTACTGTTCGGCTTAGTTATGGTAGGAACTGAGTAGTTCATTACCCAGCCAGACGATATCTTGGAATAATCGGTTGCATCACAATTACTAAATTGAGAAATACTCATTGGAGAGTTCCTGCTTGATTGTCCAATTTCTTGGCTTTGAGTCAGGGTAGGAATCCACATATCTAAACCTATAAATTATAATATAATGAGAATGATTACACAAAGAGGACTTAACCTATTAAATAGTGTTCTCTTACCAATTTCATCAACATGACGTGGTCGTTTATTCTTTAGCAAAGGTGATTGGATAATGTTTGATGAAGGTGCCAAAGCCTCGATTTCCCATGGGAAAACCTTAGTAGGTCTTGGAATTGATGCAGCCACATCCCATTTCACC